GTCATTTAACCCCGTCCAAGATTTCTCGTCCATTGCGACTCCTCTGCAACTCGGATATCATCTTTCGAGCACGACATGATAAACTGCGACATGTATGTCTCTGGATCGAAGGGCTCTGTCGGGGAGTTTATAACCTTTTTCCACTCTCCAAGACCGTTGCAGAGGCTACACCGCCCATGTATACAACCGCGGCGGGTCCGAATAGCTGGCAGGCAAGTCGTCTCTGAAACGGCGCGACTCACTTACCTCCTCCGCGGTGATCATCACGGAACAAGAGTATCTCATTCGGCCCGTCTTCTCATTACTGGCCAAGGTTCCGGAGAACTTTGCGGTAAAGGTCTCCCAGAGTCCCCCAGGCGTCGTGGGACAACCCATCAACAATCTCGTTTTCTGAGCTCGCAACATAATGTCATACATCTCCAAGTATCAAAATGCGCGGCAATCGGACACAATTATGCGAGGTCAGGCGGAGCCGGATGAGACGAAGTTTATTCTGGTGAGAAAAATCGCATAGAGTCCGACACTTGATGCGGGATGCGGTGCTGATACATTGCCCGGAGGTTAGCACAAGACTATCGAATCGGTACTCCAGCGGGGCGAGTATCCCGATACGCTTTTGGACCGCTTGGATCCCTTGTCCGCGCAGAGCAAGATATTTTACAAGACGGCCCACAAGGTATGTTTTATTCGGCGCCGTTCTAACTTCCGGGAATATCAAAACGCCGGATTTGTGTGTTATCATGTCCATCTTTGTGTCTCACGCTGGTGTTAGGTACCTCCATTCATAATAAAGTACTTGCATTCATAAATTAATATATCTCCTTGCCTACCTCTGTATTTATGATGGACTAGGACCTGCTTTGGCTCTCCCAACCATGGCTTCCGGACCAGACACTCCCCGGGCTGCGAATCGCAAGACTATCTATTTGGTGATGCTATTTTCATGCACGGCGCGCCCGGTGTCGTTTTTTCAGCCCAGCAGAACCTGGGACCTGCCGCATCACTGTCTACGCTGTCAAATGTCTCCGTGGAGGGGCACCGCTGCAAAGGAGACGTGAAGCTGCCAGTTAGGATTTTCTGAATTCAGCCCATAGTCATCGGGTCGTGAAATAATCCAACCAACCACCTGTGCGATACGGAATTTCTCAAGGTGAAACCGCGAGCGTAGACGTCTTTTCGACATTGGCCGAGTTCTCTTCAACTGAAAAGCTCTTGAACCGACAGCAAGTGTCTCGCAAGTCCCTGCTCGCCTTTTTTCTTGACTGGAACCGCAAACTCCGCCTTGCCTCACGTGGTGGAATTTCAACCTATTCCCCCTTTCCGTTCCCCGGTATGTTGGCCTGACACGAGAGATTCAAATTGACATTCCTTCCCTGTGGTTCACTGTCTGCCGTCTGTCAGCGCATCCTATAGCAATTTCTCTGGTTCCTTGCGTGCTATTCTTCCTTTGGACATCTGATTGGGATCCTACCACGGAACCGTTCGCGCAAGGAGGATATCAGCTCGCGAACACCCCAGTCGCTGTCCCAAATTTAGTGATGAGACTCACTTCCAGCACTCGGTGTTCGACTTGCGAAGTTAACGCGCCAACCCGGATTGCGGTCTGCATCGCAATCTTGCGCTGCGATGGGAATTCTTGCTCTCTCCTTGAGTGAAATTTTTGTAACTCTTGCCCTGCGCTCAGGCATGTTTGAACGCATTCTGCCCATCCGTCGCTCAACCTAGCGCGCGCTCTGTTTAAATTGACAGATCCGCATCGAAATTTATTCGCTTCGCTCAGTATACTATCTACCGCGATCTATTTTCCATCGGTTCCGTTAACTTGCAACTTCTTTTTCTGTCTTCTTTTTCCTGTCGTTATCTAACCTGTGCCGCGCGGCATCGGAAATCCGGTATCGATGGGGGCGCTTGAGGGGAATTGCGGCATCGATACCTTGATCGATTACATCCCACGAGGACCCACATTGTCACGGACGGCCCCCGCTTCGTCTCTCCCATGATGCCTCCCCATCCAGACGGAAGCTCCCCGCCCCTATATAAGGGTCAAGATGATTCTGGATCGTACCGCGACGGAAGCGCTTCCGTTCTCAGCTCCAAAAAGCCAGCTTCTGAGCCGCGCTACGGTGCGCCGCCTTGTTCAGTCTCTATCACCTTTTTCCACTGACCCCGTTGCAGTCTATTACCGAGTCTATGCCCCGGACGGATTGCTTGCCTGCAAAAAGCACGAACAGAGTCTTTGCATCGGTCGTATCAAGGCCACATCGGTCCCTCCACCCCGTACCGTTGCCTCGCTGAAACGGGCACTGGTACAGGCCGAGGAGCTCCCAGATCCCGATGGCGACCTCACTCGACTGTTTGACACGACGGAAGCCAGAACGCCGATGGCTCCGAGCACCCGTGTCGACATTATGAACGGAAGCATCGGAGCGACGTCCCAAACCCCCGTGGCGCTTGTCTTCCTCGTCGACCCCAAAACGCCGCTCCAGGTACCGGACGATTATGATGGGGACGCACTGCCTATGCGTGAGTAGAGTGGATTTTTACATGTGTCCGAGCATCGCGCTGAACCCGGTCGTTGAATCAGTTTACTATAGGCTCTACAACCGTGGTGGTGAAGAGAGCTCGATTCGCTCCTTCGACACGAGCGAGCCTGCACTTGGGCGCGTCGAAAGAGAGTCACTTGCGCCGCCTCGAAATGCTACCTCTGTGAAACGACGCATCGCGAGAGTGGAGGGGAAGCCGATATATCGGCTTGCAGATCTGTTCACAGATGCCATGACGGATACCGCACACCCGTCCGACTCCCCGCTTCCCCCAAGCTGCGGCTCCAGCACGGAGAACCCAATTATGATCGTGTCACCCGAGCGCCGTCCAGGAGCTTATAGCATTTCAGGCCAAACCTCGGCAGACGTCGACATCTCGAACATTTCCGGAGTCAACAACTTGAATCCTCTCTCCGAAGGAATCTGTGGGCGACATCCTTTAACCACTCACCCGAATCTAAAGAACGTTAGATACCGTCACAAACTCGAGACAACCGGTGGTGATGGAACTTTCCGAAGGTGGGTGATTGAATCTTTCCTCGATAGACCGCTCCTGAGTCTGCTGTCTGGGCGTCTAGGGGATAGCCGAAACGGTGCCAATTACATATCTATGTACTCTTCCTTCGTTTACGCACGCTGACGAATGGGGCCAGGGACTGCGGTCCAAGCGTATGAGAATGCCCCCATCACCAGCCAGCATTTGTTCAACCAGTTATGGCTGGTACAGCTGACAAGCACCGGACACTACAGTTTCCGAAACTTGAGGGGTGGCACCTACATGGATTTACTGAGAGGTGATTCCTCTATCGCAAACCTCACATAGCATAGATTCCCTGAAGTTCAGGATATGCAGGCAACGCCGCAAATTATTCCAAAATAGTTGGGTATGAGGCTCAAGGGCCTGACGGTGGCGCCTCTATCAATCAGGAGTGGGAGGTAATCCAGGCGGGCGAATTCTACAAGTGCAGAGTGGTGTTTCGGTTTCCCTCCGTTCCTCTCACCTTCCTCCAGGATTCGCAACAGAAACTCAAAGAGTAACAGTCCCAAATTCATTGACAGAGCAACCACACTAACTATTTTCAACTTAGCTTATGTGAACCTCAGGGGCGGGTATGTAGCAGCGAAGTTCGTCCATTCGTTTAGCTCACACTCACATCAGGCGATCCGGCAATGGAACTGAAATCATGGGTTTTGCGGATACCGCCGGGACGCCATCAGAGCGAGATGAGTTGTGGAAATTCACACTACGCAGCGTGACCCTCTCTGATGTACACACTGTCCTGGAGAGGTGTACAAAACAAGTAGATGATATGCATGTTGTCTCCCTGAATCGCTTGTAAGTCCCCCCACCCGCATATTTTTGTTACTTTCATCTGTCGTAGTCTTTTTGTACCCCCACCGGCCCTGCTCGCCCACCTCTGGCGCGAAACTCCACATGTGTCGATTCAGATGCTCCGCAAATCTGTCTTTTCCGATCAGTGTCAAATGGGTTTCGGTACGTGGACTCTCCCTCTCCGATGATTCAATGCAATTAAAGGACGCTATCCAGCCTTCAAAACTGCGGTCACTATGTGGGCGGCACAGCATATCAAAGCAAATGCAAGTTTCTTTTCATCTCCTTGAACCGATCTAACCCCTCGAACCCGTGCAGGATATTTCCATACTTTTTGGGCTCGTCCGTCGACATAACAATGGAGAAGCGTGCAATTGGACCTTGAACGAAGATCATTCAAGCATACTCTTCCTCAGGTGCGCCGTTTTCTCTGTGTAGGCTCATTTCAAAAGCGCTGAACATCGTTGAATAGTCCTACGGATGGATCCATCGTCGTACGTCACTTTAACCGTGTTTTCTATGCAGACTAATCAGCGCACAGACATACGCGAATGAGTATTCCTCCTGGGGATTCTTCTGACACTCCAACATCCAAATACTCGGGAGCTGGCAAAGCAGCTTTCCTGTTAGTCTTGTAATTGACATTCGGCCAGCTCAGCTTGCTTTCGTGTTTGTAAAGTGTCGAATAAATCACTTCATTTTGTCTACCAGAAACCTATGTAGGAATGGTAGTATGCGTTTTGAACTTTGGGCGGACCAAAACGTTTTCGTACCCTATGGCATGGAAGTCCGAAAGATAGTCGCAATGCACTCTGCTTCAGCAGACGCATCGCGAGTGTGTAGGGAAATCGATTTACCGATTGGGAGATCTTCTGTTCGAATATTTCATTTGCAAATCGCACTTCAGTCTACCGCTCAACACGTCCCGCGCGCAGCCATCTTCCGAAATCCAGGAGCCGCCTTCGATCCTGACTTTGTCAGTTGACGACGGAGTTCAATTGCCGTTCTGTTGGACGGCTACAGACATGGTTTACACTTGTGCGATTTTCACGCGCCAAGATGTGAGAATAAAGTTTTTTAACTGCTGAGGACCCATTATATTCAAAGGACGAACCACCTGTCAAGGCCCACTGGCGCGTGGCGCGCCGCTGTATTCTCTTAGATCGAATCAAATGTTCAAGTAATGCAGCGACCCTGTTCGATTCAGGGGTGGGCCATGAGACAGTGCGTTTAGCTACGTTTTTTTTGGCCCATTTTTACGCGTCTTTCCGCTCCTACTTACGTACCTTGGTATACCGTATCATTTGGCAGTCCCGCAGTTGGTTCCGACCGCAACAGATCCCCCTCTGAATTTAATAATTTAGTAATATTTTATGGTTCACTTTATCCATCCGGAAACTCACAAAATAGCCTCGATTATTAGCTGGGACAATTCTTACGCCACTGTGCCAGCTCATGTTGAACATTCCAACATGTTATTTATCCGTATTTTGGTTGAATCATTCCAAGCTCTCACGGTGCCACAGCCACTTCCCACAAGCGAGGTTCTCCTGATTTTCACCGTCATGCATCGCACTTGTTGCCTCCCTGCTCCACATCCCGGATCCTCCAAGAACAACCCCTCGCACTTAGATTTTTACTCGCCGCTCAAAATCCAGTCTCGGCCGGACGTGCCTCGCTCTCGACCCCAGGCTGTTCCAGGCTCCCATGACCTCCGGCCTCTTATAAAGCATTCCATATGGCATAAGGAACATGCTCATCAGAGTCATCGCATTGGATGCTTACCAAACTCTCACTGTTTCTCCTTTTCGTCTTGTATATCCTCTCTTGGCCACCGTTCTTCAACAAGGACCGCAGCATGTCGACGAATCGCACGATCGTGGTGGGGGGTGGGCTGGCGGGCCTGAGCGCCGCGCACACGCTGCTCGAGCGGGGGAAACGGGTGCTGCTACTTGATAAGAAGCCTGGGTACGTCGTCATCCAAGTAGTTTCCGGGTGGGCTGGTGGATAATTGAACAAACAACAGGCTGGGTGGCAACTCTGTGAAAGCCAGCTCGGGGATAAATGGCGCGTATACGACGGCCCAGCAGGCGTTGGGTATCGAGGATAGCGTCGAGTCTTTGTGCGTTTCTCCTTTTCCTCTCCAGTGATTATATCTTATACACTGGTAGCTACGCCGACACACTAACCTCCGCCGGGCCCGACCTCGCGCGCCCCGCGCTCATCACGGCCCTCACAAACAACTCCGCCGCTGCGCACGCGTGGCTCACAAACGCGTTCGGCGTGGACCTCTCCGTTGTCGCGCGCCTCGGCGGGCATTCCGCGCCGCGCACCCACCGCGACAACTCCGGTGCACCGGGGTGGGCGATTACGTCGGCGCTGATGAAGAGGCTTGTGGCGATCGCTACTGAGGACCCGGGACGAGTGGAGATCGTGAAGAACGCGCGGGTGGTGGGGCTGTTGGAGGAGGGGGGCGCGGTTGTCGGTGTTGATTACGAGGTTGACGGACAGACTGTCACCGCGAACGGGGACGGGGTTATCCTCGCGACTGGGTGCGTATGAGGATTCCGCAGTATTTCCCAAGGCTGATTACTGTTGCGTTGAATAGAGGCTACGCATCGGACTTCTCCCCCACCGGCCTCATCGCGACGTACCGTCCCGACCTGCTCTCCCTCTCCACGACGAACGGCGACCACGCAACGGGCGACGGCGTCCGGCTCGCCTCGTCGCTGGCGTCGTCCTCCTCGGCTGGCTTCCACCCCCTCCTGGTCGACCCCACCGAAGTCCAGGTCCACCCAACAGGCTTCGTCGACCCCGCCAACCCCACCGCCAAGACGAAGTTCCTCGCCGCCGAGGCGCTGCGGGGGGCCGGCGGGTTGATGCTGGATGCGCGTGGGAGGCGGTTCGTGGATGAGGTGGGGAGGCGGGATGCGGTTGCGGCGGCCGTGGGGCTCGCGGAGCGTGTAGAGGGGGAAGCGGGGGAATGGGAGATGGTGAGGCTCGTGTTGGGGGAGAAAGCGGCGGGGGAGGTGAAGAAGCATTGTACGTCGCGCTCTTTGGGCCTTTCATCGTGATGTTAATCAATCCCTCAGGCGACTTCTACGTATCCAAAGGCTTGATGAAGCGCTACCCCGATGCGGCGGCGTTCGCGGCAGACAGCGGGATACCATTGGAGAGTATTACCGAGACGTTCGAGCGGTATGCCGCGGCCGCGGCGGGTGGGGAGAAGGATAAATTCGGCAAGGGTGCGTATCGATGCCTTTCCGATTTAATGGATTCGCACGTTCGTCAGTTCTATGTGTTGATTTCTTTTCGTGCAGTGACATTCACCAACCCGCCGACGCTGGAGGAGCCGCTCCATGTGGCGATTATCACCCCCGTGGTGCATTACGTGCGTCTTCCCTCAAATATCGATGTTTGTGCCAACAAAGTATTGATCATATCCGCACTTCCGACAGACGATGGGCGGCCTCGCCGTCGATGCGCACGCGCGCGTCCTCTCCCTCTCCGCTCCCTCTACGGACCACGCGAATCTAGAAGAGTCAGCGACCCCGATCCCGGGGCTGTGGGCCGCGGGCGAAGTCATCGGCGGCGTGCACGGGCGCAACCGCCTCGCGGGGTCGTCGCTGCTCGAGGCGGTGGTGTTTGGGCGGATTGCAGGGGAGGGCGCGGCCGCGTCGGCATGATCAAGTCCAAGGCGAGGGATGAGCAAGGGGATGAGAAGAGGAAAATTGGGTCTGAGTTGGCTGGGAGTGAGGGGGGTGAGTCGCAACTGGCCACGGCCATGGGTGGGGGTTGATATCTCCTTGTATTTGCCATCGATCCTAATTGTACTATTGTTTTGTCCTAGCTCTTGTTACGGTGCAACCCACGACGTATATCAATTATCATGTCGTCCAGTGACGAAACTCGTTCAACTTTGTTTGTCGATCTTTTCGTCGAGGATTTCGCGGAGTCGAGAAGTTTTATAGTTACCACAGCTCTAAGTAGTTGGCTCGCTCCCTTTTCAGATTTTCCCTCAGGGGAAATTGAAATATCGTCGGGGCGGAGCGATTCCGGCAGATTAGACGACGACCGTCATTTTCCTCACCGCGCGGGGGGGGGGGGGGGGGGGGGGGCTGGATCTAATGGGCAGACAGGCTGGCTAGGGTGCTGAATAAGGCGAGTCGGAAATCCGCGCAGTCCTGTCTTCCAGCCTAGATTGCGTTTCTGATCATGATATGCAAGCACAGGCGGAAGCAGGGTTCGACGTCGTACGTCGGTCTGTCTTATGGTCGGTTGCGGAGGTGTTGATTGGTGGATTCGATTCATGCGAAGCAATGACGAGCTCGTAAAGGCATTAGGGGCGTCTCTGTTGCATCCTATGTGGTAGGGGTCATCTAGCCACCGCTACCCCGTGTTAGATTTTTTTCGGCCGGAGTTTTCATCAGGTTTCTTATCCCTCTCGCCAAAGTGTTTCTTTTGGCCGTCTAAGGAGATCTGCTAGAGGGATTTCCATTTGATTCACAACTGAGTGAAGTTTTTAAAAACATACTATCCTGGATTAGGCCACATGCACTGGGAAAAAAAAATGAAAAAGAGCCTACTTGAGCAGATAGGTGCCCGTACCATAGTATTTCCGCCTAATGGTCAGCTTATTATGTTCGCTATCGGCGATTTCCAAATGAATACAGTATAGTCCTCTGCTATTGGTTTCAACGGTGTCCGGGCCATTGTTCTCGAACGACATTAGTATTCTAACTTGTCGAAGGGTGTTCTATATCATAGTCTAAGTATATGGGTGCGCTAGCCATTGAGGGAGGCGCACGGAATTGTGGCCTTGTTTTGTGGAATTGAAGAAAGGACTCAGAGGAGCACATTCTACGAAGCTCTACGTACAACTGGCTACACAATTACTCTATGCCAGTGGCTATACTCTCTGCTCAAAGGCAAGCATGGCGTCATAGCTCAGCTGGGAGAGCAACAGACTGAAGTGACATGTTGTTAAATAAGTCCTTGACATCTGGAGGTCCCGTGTTCAATCCACGGTGATGCCATTATTTTTGCTTCAATTTCTCTTTTCATTTTCGCTTTCAACGTTCCAACTACAGTATGTATGCACATCCAAGCGAGCGCTGCGCATTTTGCGATCCCGTGCTTAAATTCCTTTACAAGCACATGTTCGACTAACGGGTTGAACTCATAGAGCTACTACCCATTGTAAGTTCTCCCATCCGTAGGATTTTCCCTGGGGCTCGAGTTGATAGAATCTTGTCGTGCAGCTACGCATATTTTACAATGCTTGTTGTCCGGAGTAATCAAATTGCGTCGAGAGGAGACTCAGCAGGGATCTCTTCCGCTATTACTGTAAAATTCGAACTTAGCCCCAGCCCCAGCGATATCCATGAACACGCGCACAGAGAAATCCAGCATATTTGCGGCGCTTTGGGTTCCAATTTGGTAGATACCAGGGGCACAGAACAGGAATTTCGAGGAAATACCGAACCGCTTCCCGGCGAAATCCGGGTTGTGTGACTATGATGCCGGGGGCAGACCGGCCCGGCCCGTCAGCTTTCCTCCTTTTCTTCGACACACCAATATCTTTGGCCTCAGGTCTCATGCATCAGTCTAGTCTAAGGCGGCTCGCACATCCTTCTGCCCACTTCTTTTCCCGCCAGATTCTCTCAAGGATACCCTACAATCTCAGAAGCCTAAGGACCACGACACCCCAAGTAACGTACCGACGAGCTTCTTCCGTAGCGCATGCGCAAGACCATAACTGACTGGGTGTTCGCAGGAAACAGGGAGCTCAACGTGACGCATCCGACATCCCTCTTCCACAAGTTCCAGGGCCAGAACTCCCCCACACAACGGTTAGTAAACTGGAAAACTCCCTCATGCATCGGGACATTGATAAGGCTTATTTCAGCCCACGCACCGCAGCCTTCCAAGCATCTGGCCATCTAGCATCGCTGAGCGTAAAGAGCTCATCTCGGCCTGTTTTCCAACTTTCCGTCCCGTACTGGTTCTCGTGCGATTGGTTGCGCTGGGGCAGCATGTCCTTTTTCTACGTTCGGACCCATTGGTACAACCTCAGCCCCGCGGACACCATCCTGACCCACGCCTTCAAAATTCCCGGCACGCTCCGCCCACTGGCGTTCAGCGAGTCCGCCGGGCCAATCGTCCTCGTGGCCGCCGGCGCGGAATATTATCTCTGGGACGGAGATGCGTTGACGCT